AGAGAGAGAGAGAGAGAGAGAGAGAGAGAATCAAATGATAAATCATATGGCAAGAATGCTTCTGAAATAAAACTAAACATGTTCTAAAATGAGAGAAAAAGAAAGTATGACAGTTAACCTGGGTGTCAGTTTGGCTGGATTAAGAGACACCTATAAAATTGGTAGGTGCATTTCAGAGAAGGCTATTAGGCATTAAGTGTGTGGTTCAGAACAAAGTGGGGAAAACTTAGCCTCCAGTGGGAGGCACTGCCATCAGTTTTGGGGTTCAGAAGGATTAGAGGTCAAGAAGAGGAACTGCATGTATGCACGTGCTGGATTTCTTTTTTTGTGTGCTCCCAGGGCTTGAACTTGGGACCTTGCACTTGCCAGGCAGCTGGTGCTCATGCAGCTGAGCTATGTGCCCAGCCCTCGTGCTGGACTTCTTGAGCAGGTATGTTTTGGCCACTGCCATTGACTGTGGACATCAGACACCAGATACTTTAGCCTCTAGATAGAGAATTTCCCAGCGACTCTGCAGGAGGCCTTCAAGCCTGCACTGTTCTTCTTGATCTCAGGTTTCCAGCTTCTTGGACTGAGCAGTTACTGGTTTCCCCAACTCAGCTGGCACCTTACAGATGGCTCTTGTGGGCTTTTTCAGCCTCTGATCCTGTGTGTCGGTCTAATAAACCCCCTCTTATAATACTCTGTTCTTTTCATCTGGAGAATTGACTGATACAAAACATAAATGGTGCTCTCCATGTTCAAGCAAGGTCTGAGAAATCCACTCTGCAAAGATAGTTTCTCCCCATGGGACTATGCAGCCTGGGACGTGTGAACATGCAGTGGACGTGGCTGGAAGAAGCGGAGCCCAGAAACTTCCCACAGTCCCAGCAGGAGGCACTGTCCCTGGAATCGGCTATGTCACCTCTCTCAGAAACAAGCGAGGAGTACTTCTGTAGCTGCTTTCTTATATTTTCTGAGGGACTCGTGAGGCCTAATGGGCTTGCTAGCACAGAAATTCCTGTGACCTGGTTATGGAGTGGACCTAAAACGTTCCCTCTAAGCTTCTGGAAGGTGCAGCCGTGAGCTGCTGTGCTCATCATGGCTTGACCATTGCTGAGCCCAGAGCCGGACACCGTCGGGAGGGGAGCAGTCCGGAGGGGTGGCCGAAGGCTGACTGTGTCCTTGTCCCTGCCTGCCAACCTTGGGTGTCAGGATCCTGCTATATTGCTGAGGAAGATGAAAATTGTGCAGATTTTATTGGTGGTACACTGGAAAAAAGCCAGCAGTCCTCTTTTTTCCTGTAGAATAAGATTGTTTCTCCCCTAAAAGCGCACTTAGCTGTCCAAACTTCCTCGTATTGCAGTTTCATCACATAATACCACACCAACTTTCTCGAGGGTTGAGACTAAGATTGTCTGTCAGTTTACTATTAAATGTCTTTAACAGACACCTAGCAAATGCTTGGGGAAGTACAAAGTTTAGGAAAACAGAAGGGCCCTCAGCTTAAGCCCAGGGGAATTGAGACTTTCCCATGGAGTCTCTTGGTGCTGCCGTACTTTCCCAGTTCACCAGAGCTGCCAATCCTACTCTTTTACAGATAGAGGAAGTGAGACCCACCAAGCTGAAATGACAGGCTCAGAGGAGAGGGAACTAGTACCGCAATGTTCTGGACTCTAGATGGAACGCTGGTTCCACCGAGGAACGTGTGGTTTTCCCCTGGGGGAGCTGGGGGAGAAAGAAGGGTCTCCTCAGAGCTAGGCTGAACAGAACGTTGCTAATGTAGTCTGGTACAATTAATTCTTTATCCTGAATTTAGTTAAGAAAGGGGTGAAGGGAGGAAAAGAAGAAAGAACAGAGGAAGAGCAAGGGAGAGAGAGAAAAGCAGGGAGTGAGGGAAGAAGAGTGCATTCAGTAAATAATGTGCTAATTTTTGAGCAATTGAAATTATACCACTGTTGAAAATATCTTTTTATTAGAAACAACACAGCACAGATACACTCGAATACATTATGTAAATATATACTCCATGTTCTTTGCCTGAGTCTTTATGAACAAGGTCTCTAAGTCCAATAATTCTTTCCTTGGTGCCATCCACATAGTCAGTGAGTGGCAAGTACCCTCCAAGGGTCCAGGTGAAATGCGTGAAATGTGATGAGGAATTTCAAAGAGAAAGAAGAAGGAAAGAAGGAAGAAAGGGAAAAGA